GTCAATAAAATAAAAAATAAATCCCTTTTTTGACTACCCAAGCCACTACGTGTATGAAATCTTTCTTATTAACTATTTTTTCTATATAGATGACCAAAAAATAAAAACTATATTTTCTATATAACTAAACATGAAAAAAAAAGGAATTTCTTGAGGTCTCAAAAATAGTATTAAGGCAATTCTATCTTATTTCCAGACTTAATAAGATATTTCCATAAACCCGTTTTAATTGTTACATATAAAATAAATTTTGATCACAATCTTCCAAAATAAAAATTAAAAAATTAAAAAAAAATTAAAAATTTCGATCAAAAGCTAAGATTGCACAAATCTTTTTTTGCAAATAAAGGTTAGATTTGGCAAATCCTACACAAGTTTTGGTCAAAACTACTTGACCCAATAGGCCATCATTAAGAGCACCTAAAGGAAAATTTGAAAACGGCATCACTATTGTTTAGCACACCACAATCATCTAGGAGTGGCACAAAAAAAGCAAGTAGATTAATCATTATTATTATGAGAGAAATGATCCCAATTAAGATATTTAATCATTCCGGACTTAGATTTGTGGGGTGGCCATGCCCCTATTCCAGGCCACTTTCCTTCTTGGACCTATTCTGTCTAGGCCCCTCTTTAGTCTCTACTCCAACCTTTTTCTCTCCTTTCATTTTGTTCTATTATTCTTTTTGGGGTCCCCATTCAGCACGCCAAGCTAAAATCTCAATCATCTAATTGTATTTTCAAAATCTTTGATCTGGTCTTAGATAATGTTTGTTTGATTGCCTAGAAAGTGAAAAAGCAAAATTTTATTGCTTGACCTAATTAAATCCACTAGACAAAAAAGGAATCATGCAAAGCAAATACTTTGGAAAAGTGTAGTATGTGATGTGAATGCATCTTTAATTCTATATATATATATATAGTTTAGAAAATCAGGAGTACATCATGACATTAAAAATTTTGAAGTGTTCAATTTCAACCAACAATATATGTGAGATCTAGTGTATAAATAATTGATAATTACTTTTTTATCCTAATTAACAAAAATTCTAAATTATATAATAATAATAATAATTTTTTTAATGTTTATTATTGTCTATCATATTACTATCCGTTATTCAATGTAGTTATAATCATTTTCCAATCATTTATTATTTATTAAAGTATTTAAATATGAGAAAAATACA